GTTGCAACTGCAACGCTTAATGATACACCAGTGTGTATCATTAAGCGTCGAATATGTCGATATTTGCTTGTTTCATTAAGCGTCGGTGTTGCACTGCATTTGTAACGCTTAATGATATAATTCATAAAGATGATCAATGGATTGGCTTGTGTGATAATTTTATGCATAAACGCCTTCGGCGTTTATGCAAATTATCACACAAGCCAATCCATTGATCATTTCATGAATTCGAAAAATAAGACAGTTATTCCTTAAATAAAGTACATTTAAAATTTGTAATTTTATCTCTAACAAAACATTGGAAATGTAAATATGGTTTGTTACTCACCAGACAAAAATATCACTACTGAACGAAGGTAATCACAATGATTCGCCTTCGTGAATAACAAACCATTTTCCCTACCGAGTAAGTCCATACTGAGAACGTAGAAAAAAATATGTCTTAGATGTTCGAAGCTATTTTTTGTAGCAATAGTCAGCTACTTTATGACAGAAATGAAACATCGATAAAAATAAAAATGCTTTCATAACACTTTGGTAGCGGCAAAACTTGTACATGTGTTACGGGTGGAAAATCCACACCTTACATTGTACTTTTCTTGTTACCTAAAAAGTTATCAGAGAAGGAGCTAATGTAAATTTGACTCAAATACTTTTCGATTGTTTTAAGTAAAAGAAATACTTGAACAGCTCTTTTTCATAAGATATTGTCTAATAGAGATTGTTCTATCTGACGTATCCGTATCCGTATACGTATCCGTATCCGTATCGAGATATGAAAGGTATCTCGATCCCGATGTCTCAACCATTTAATACAATTTACGTTGCTGTTTGTGGTTAAATAAGCCACAGTCATGCATTGGAAAATAGCAAATGGCAATTTATCTATTAACAAATAATAAACTGCTGTACACCTCTATCATTTCGTAGAAAAATATTTAGTAAAAACAAGAAAATGAATGAATAAATTCAAGTATAAACTATTTCATTTTAATTATTTTGTTTTAAAATTAAATTCATTTTGTTTCAAAGTATTTGTAGGAAATCTCCTTTCTCTTTGTCCTTTCGCTTAATATCAGGATATTTTATTGATATATTGTCTGAATTTGTCATATACCTTTACACGGTATAAGGGTATACCCCCCCCCCCTCACACACTGAAATACAAAATACGTTATCATCAACGCGACTGATAAAACACTGTAGCCGTTTTTAAAGAGACTATTCAAACTAATTTCATAATTCGCTTCAGGACCGTTACAAGTATTGAGTATATGCATGGAAGAGCCTGTTCAACTCCCTCCCCCCCCCCCTCCCCCACATTGGCGTCAGAAGCAAATTGAAAATAGGGAGGGGGGCTAATTGAAAGAGAAAAATATAAGTCCTGAAAAACCCTGACATGGAAAACAAAGTACTTAAACACTATTTTGTGTGTGTTGGCGGGGGGGGGGGGGGGGGGGTAAAACTTTTTTCATTGCCATTTTTTTTAACACAACCACTTACTCTTCTTTGACCACTGCAATACAACATGCCTTTTGAAAGTGGAAAGGGAGCTTATCCTACGCCTGCAGCCCCCCCCCCCCCAAGTTCCGGCGTCTGTGCCTCACAATGTGCACACACGACATTTGATAACGTCTTTTGAATATCATTCATTAACATCATTTGTGGTTTGATATAAAAACTATTTCAGAATATGGTATTCAAAAAATATAATCTCAAATCTTTTTTATGCAAAGATCAATATAAATATGGCTCAAAACTTTCAAAATGATACATCTTATTTTGCTAAGTCTACTTGTCCATCGTGCTAATTTTCTTCTCTTTTTTATCCGACTTTCTTTTTTATTTAAATAAACAATTTGGCGGAGATCGAGATCATTTTGCACAGTGAAGAGAAGGAACTGCTTCAATGTAGCCAAGAAAAACATCACGCATTAAAAGAAAAATTACAGTGATGAAATACATGTATCAACGTTTTTCAGAGCTTGTTTTGTTCACTATAAACTCGATCAGGTAGCTTTCATAAAAAGAATTAATATGCAAATAGAATAGATTAAGAAAGGAAGATATACATCGTAACCTAACATTTACTTTTCTCCCCCTTTATCGACAAGTGTTAAATCAATCGAGTACTACATATACTGCGTTTTATCGCAACACTCTCGGAAATTGTACATAATCAATTCTCAAGCTCCTTGAAACCCTGGATACGCATAGGCGTCAGAACCGGGGAGCCCCCCCCCCCCCCCCCCCACTTTCTTGCAAAGATAGACATTAGACATAATATAGGCATTTAAAAGTGGGGTTTACCTTTTTTGTTGGTTTAGCCCCCCCCCTTTCAATTAACGCCCCTCACTATTTGCCTGCGCCGCCCATCATACGGCTATCGACCTACAATTTAGGTAGTATATTTAAACCGCCCCAGAATTACCAGCTATCCAATTTTTTCTGGAGAACTATGACCATCAAATACGTTATAATTAATTGCATAGAAAATGATAAAAAAGGAAAAGAGTATGGACGTTTTCAGTAAATCCCCCATACACATTTATTTTGCAATATGGTGAAATCTTTCCCAGTTAATGTCTAATTACATGTTTTACAATTAATTTATAAGTTTGAGATAAAGAGGTTAAACTGCATATATAATTATATATTTTGGGGGATATGTCGTGTAAAATTCTTGTAAATATTAATGTTAATTTTAGAATGAAGAATGAATATCCTAAGAGAGAGAGAGGGGGGGGGGAGAGAAAGAAAGAAAGAAAGAGAGAGATTTTCGAATAATTTTCTGCACATTTAAATAATTCAAATCATACTTGTTTTTCTAATTTTATTTTTTAAACTTTTACCCCCTCCCCTTCTCCCCCCAAAACATAATGCATAAGGCGTGTACAGCAACTGATATGTTTTTTATTAAAAATATCACACTACATATAATTCTGTAGTGAAAGAGGTTAAAAATCAAACATGAAACGATGGAAATGTAACCAGATTGTTTAGACATCGGGATCGAGATGCCTTTCATATCTCGATACGGATACGGATACGTATACGGATACGGATACGACAGATAGAACAATCTCTAATACAAGTAAATAGTGTGCGAATACTGCAAGTAATGTAAATATTACAGGTTTGCTTATTACATTTAAAGTATAAAAATACAATATTATAAAGACTTTTAAATGGATTTTCTGAAAAAATAACTTAGTTTGAAGGTAAAGTCAGCTAGCAACAAATTTCTAAAAAAAAATCGAATGTTATATAATTTTAATTTTAAAGCCATTAATGAAAGTGAGTTTTTTCACAAGTAGATTTAACTGTAATTTCGTACATGGTTTGTTTATATTTCAAAATCATTATTACATGTATTAAACGCATGGTCAGCAGCAATTGATTTTATCCTCATTTGTTCATTAATTTGTAAAATTAAAAGTATATTTAAAAAAATTATTATTTATTAATGAGTTTTCTTGTATTAAGGTTGACAACTGAACAACGAGAACAGGCCTACGTCCATAAACTGAGAATAGACTTAAGTTAAATATTATGATTACCAGTAGCTTGTAATTTATAATACACATAATGCGTTAAATTAGAATTAAATTTAGATTTTTAATTAATTTTTGAAAAATTAAAATTAGGTTTGTAAAATTTTCAAATTTGAACCTAGGGTAAAAAACTTGGTTTGTTATCAAAAATTTTCAAAATTATATAGATTTTAATTAATGACTAAAGTCTGTTCTCAGTTAATGGTCTTTGGATCATTTTTTAAAATAAGAAATGTTGCTAGAGAGAAAATTTTTTATTTCTATAGAACTTAAAGATAAATTTTTGAAAAAAACTCAATATTTTTCTGTTAAAGGGAGACTCACCTCAGATAACCTCCCCAAAATCCAAAGTACTCTCCAGGAACCAAGAAGTGCCCCATTGTTATCGCCTCATTACTGGTATTCATTAGAAGGATATGGAGATAACGAAGGGTATTCAATCTCAACGTTCATTAAACAATATACAAAATAAGAGCAGAGCAAACACGGACCTCTGAAACATCAGAGGTAGGATCAGGTGTCATGGAGGAGTGAGCATCCCCTGTCGAGCGGGCACACCCGCTGTGTGCTCCTTGTCATGATCAGAAAAAAACGAAAATCCGTCATCAATTCTGTGTATAAATAATGGACTAACAACTGGTATGAAAAACGTCAGTCAGCATCTGACTCAATTGTAAATTGTATTTAAATATTGTATCGACCATGGAACTTACAAAATGATGACTTTAAACAAGACTGATGAAATTCTTGTTTCATCAACTTGCTTGTCAATAATTTACATCCTTTTAGAAATTGTTTATACGAAGAGCATGCTCAAACGTATCGAATCAACTGATATATATATATATATACTTCATATGCAGGCGATGAAGGTATATTGCCGCATGAGTAATTTTTAAGGAAGTGGACGATAGAAAAGTTAAAGTTATCACGTTTATCATATAGCTTGGTTGTTAGATTACCATTAACGTCTTTTCAAGTAAAATAGTCAAGTATGAAACAGATGTGTCAGACTCTGTGGTATCTTTTATCTCAAGCTCACCATGATATTTCGTATCGACGTAGGAATGGAAATTAGATAAGTTACCAACATAGTTTTTAAATTGATATATTTCTTTCAGTTATAATCTTTTAAGACCATAGTAGAGACTTAGATTAAAGATGCAGAGTTTTGGATCTGTCGGGACTTTAAACTATTCACGCTGTTTCAATTTCATTTTATATACTCATGGAAATTTATGAACACTGCCTTGGGATATGTATACCTGTTTACACGACACACTGATATTTATATGCTTATGCATACAAACGATGACGACATAATAATAAAGAATCGGATGTAAATAAATCTTTGTAAACAAGCAAATAATCACGTGACAGGATGCTTTGTCTTTTGAAATTTGCATATAAAAGAAAAACCATCTACGTAAAAACAGTACAACCAATCCAAACATACTGATTAACAATGGCACAAAAAGTGTGAGTTTCAGTATTTCCTTTCATTAAAAGTACAAAAAAAAATTATCTTTTATTAAAAAAAAGTAGCAAATGGCAGTAGCAAAAGCGAAAAGTAACAAAGCAGTCGAATTTGTCATATTTTGAAGCAGTTGAATATATCATATTTTGAATAAACAGATGTTGAAATTCATACATTTAATTAAGAAAGTACTCAGTAAAGTAAGATATATATACCAGGAGCTACTTACTGTACATACTGAACGAGGCCAATGCGGGAGTGGCAAAATGGTCGTGTGTGGTCCATTTGCCATGTACCTGTATAATCAGATTTTTTCACCTGTCCACTGTTTTCTCTCAAAGAAGCATTAAATTACCCTGCTTATAGTCGTTTACTCTTTTATAGTCTGCACCTCTCTAAAACATGGTCACAAAACTCCCCTTATGTTTTCTACTCGCTCTTAATTTTTACATTTGTACAATATGTCCTCCCTTTCTAAAGTAGTGTTATTTTTATTTGTCCTGCTATTTAAACAGTCCCAGCCAAAGTAGTGGTGGTGGCGGGGGGCACCACGGTGGCGGCGGTGGTGGCGGTGGTGGTGGTGGGGGCGGACACAAAGGTGGCGGCGGCGGACACAGTAAAGGACACGGCGGCGGTGGTGGGTAAGTTATATTTTATTTATTTCCTTAAATCTTATTTTTAAAAATTAAGGTATGTCACTCATCGGTTTTTTTTAGAAAAGTTCACGCAGATCCTCTTGCTTCAAGACTATTTTTTAAAATTCAATTTTTATGTTATATTTAAATTCAACAACGTAAATTTTTTAACATTCAGCGAAAAAAAAACTGCTCAAAAGGATACAAAAAAGCAAGCTTTATGAGGGACTCTTTCTTGTGGTGGAAGGATATTTAGCATATAATTCTGCAAATTTGCATATTTATTACATTTAATATTTGGGAACTTTAGCCCAATATATACTTTTACTCAGAGAATATTTTTCGTTATGATATTGCTAGGAATAAATAATATAGTTCTTAATTTATATTTTAGAAAATGTCTTACACCTTCCTTCAACAAACTTTGCTAAAAAATTGAAAATATGTAAAATAAGTTTAGATAAATTCTTTAAAAATAACATCACTGACACCAACTTTTTCTTTTATTATTTCCAAGAAATCGATACTTGTGACTGATAAGCACTTAAGTCGTAAAAAGCTTGATTTAAGAAAAAGTTTTATTGACAATATAGTTTTTTAATTAAGGAATGAAGCTAATTTCAACTTATGTTATCCGATATAACATAACTTGGGGCAGTTTACGCTTTATAAACCGCGAAGCGGTTTATAAGAAAGCGTAAACTGCCCCAAGTTTTGTTATATCGGATAACATAAGTTGAAATTAGCTTCATTCCTTATAATTTAATTTCAGAGTAGACAATGAGACAATATTTCCTCCGGAAAAAGGCTTCAAATTGAGCATTATTTTAAAAGTAACGTCAAGCGGAGTAATACGTTAATGACGTAACTCATTGTGACGTAGGCAAGTTATGTTATCCAAAATATTATATGTTCCTCCGAATGATGCAGCAAGTGAAATTAAATTATTACCCTATATATGTTACTTTTTAGTGCAAAAAGGTCACACAATAATTTGCAAGATTTGTTCAATGATAAATGTTATTCAAACTATTCAACGTAAAATGAAATGATATTTTATGCTATGGTTACATTTGATAAAATATGATATGGCATCTTAAAGGTTAAAATAATTTACCGAGGATTAAAGTTTAAGTGCAAAAAGGTCAACTTAAATGTACCGTACTGGCGTAGATCAGTAAGATACACACTTACCCTATATTTTCTCTGCGGTTTGAGACACGCTATATGAGTACTTATTCAAAATGTACTTTAAAAAAATCCTTGATTTATCAAATTTCACGAGTGACATACCTTTAATATTAAAAAAATCTGATAAGTCTAAAGATCAAAGGCAGCGATCATTGTAGAAACATAAAACTTTCTGAGGAAATGTTAGAATATATGCAAGAGGTTTTTTATCCTTGGTTACATTTATTATTTGACTAAATATGTAGCGAAATGAAGCAGAAATGAAAGCATAGCAAGAAATTGTTTAATGGATTAATTCGAATAAAAGAGCAGTTGAGTTTCTTATTCCTCATTGGTTCTAAGTACCTGCTAAACAACAATTGTACGAGGTAGTAGGAAATGTTCAAAAGAGGTAAAATCTTATAAATAAGTAACTACTAATAAAATATTTGCAAACGATGATGTAAATATGTTTGATATGCCGTAGATTCCAGTCAAAAAGTACCATTTAATTCATAATTTATTATTATATAATGTAAACATCATCCTTAAGGTCAGACGATACGTTCCTCTACTACCTGTTTTTCATATTTATAATGTAGGAAAAATAATCAAAATTTCAATGACAACCTAATTTCTTAACCTGTGTCTGATCATTAAAAAATCATGAAACACTAAAAAAGTTGTTTTTTTTTTAAGATTAAAGTTTTTCTCAGAAGGATTATGTAAGAAACACTACCCTATGTCATCTTGCACAAATGCCTGGTTAGGTACCTCCATTTCTGTGAGTAAATATATTAAAGTAAAATTATAAAAATAAGAATTGTTAAATTACATATTCAAAGATTGAATGCATTGTGCATTTTACAGAAGAAAGAGAAAAAAATAACTAGTGTATGGTAACATTTTAAGACAATACTTATTATTTCTATCATATTCCTTGCTCCTTTCAAAATTTAATCCGCTAAAATAGATCTGAAAATATTGCCGACTGGCGTTAAGGTTCATAAACCCTCTGCTCACTCATATGAAATGTTGCTTGAACCTTAATGATTTTCCAAGAGAAATTCTGACAATTATAGCATAGCTCAATTCTGACAATTATAGCATAGCTCAATTCTGACAATTAAAGCATAGCTCGCGGGGCAAAATTGGACCAAAAAGACACTTCAACGTGGCAAATGTATTAAGGAATAATAGACATTTATGTCATTAAGAGTTTTCTCTCTTATCCGAGTATCAATGACCCTTAAATTATAACAATTAATCAATTAAAATATAGCCGAATGAACGTATTAAGAATAATGCCTTACCAATGAGAAGAGCTGTCATAAGAACTGTTGGCACCACCCCCTCTGTGATCACCCCTGTTGTAAGTGTTTATTTTAGGGGAAAATTATACATTCCTCAAAAATACAACGCTTTTTTTATATGAATGTTCAATGACACAGTAATTTTCAAATTATTTTTTTTTACAAAACAACAGCGGCGGCCATTCCCCTATACCACCCAGTCCACCATCTAGGTAAGTGGAATATATATATCATATTATCATAAAAACCTGAAATTTGTTATTGAATTAAGATTGATATATAAATTGAATACAACATTACGTTTGGATAGAATTACATTTATTTGCCATCTGAAATAGCTTTGTTGGCATTTAATTTTGTTGTTTTCATAATAACCCTCATCGATTATATATATGCCTATAATTCTTCGAGTATGATTTCGTTGATATTTCTTTACAACGAAGCATACAAAATTTAATCCCCCAAGAATATTTGTTTTTTTTTTACAAAAGTGACGGCGGCGGAGGTGGGGGAGGTTTTCCTGATATTACACCACCGTCAACACCTACAGGTAAAGGAGGAGGTGGAGGAGGAGGTCATGGTAAAGGAGGAGGAGGAGGTCATGGTAAAGGAGGCGGAGGAGGGGGTCATGCTAAAGGAGGAGGAGGTCATGCTAAAGGAGGAGGAGGAAAATAGAAATAGAAGGTAAGTCATGTTATGTTACCATCACTTTCATCAAAATGATAAATAAGAAAAGTCACGTCACTTCACTACTATCAAATCACGATAAAAGAATGTAATACTACGTATGCTAAATCATGTACCATCAACATCATTAATTAAATTTATATTTAAAAAAATAAGTTTAGCATATCGCTTTGTAACAACCATCTTTTAAATGAACAAGATGTGTTTGTGAAACACTATGCGCCCGGCTCAACAAAGTTAAAAAAATATTTTTAGCATATAGGTCACAGTCAAGGTCACAAGGTCATTGATCTTGGTGTCATTTGATCTTGGTGTCATTTGAAAGAACTTAATAAGTGGAGTATGCATACCATATATGAAGTCTATATCTTTCATTGTTCAAAAGTAATAGCAATTGTTTTTGAAAAAGCTATTTTTAGCATATAGGTCACAGTCAAGGTCACAAGGTCATTGATCTTGGTGTCATTTGATCTTGGTGTCATTTGAAAGAACTTAATTCGTGGAGTATGCATACCAAATATGAAGTCTCTATCTTTTATTATTCAAAAGTAATAGCGAAGGTTAAAGTTTGCAGAAAAAAATATTTTTAGCATATAGGTCACAGTCAAGGTCACAAGGTTATTGACCTTGGTGTCCTTTGAAAGAGCTTAATTAGGGGAGTATGCATACCAAATATGAAGTCTCAACCATTCATGGTTCAAAATTTTTTTGGTATCTTTTTCAAAATGTGCGGATAAAAAAAAAAGAAGTTACTCCGTGAAGCATATTTTATCTTATTGATAATGCTAGATACTTTTTGTAGATCACATAAAATCATTTATCTTTTTATATTTTTGGAAATTAGTTGTTTTTTTTTTAAATTAAGAATATTTTTTTTATTTCTTGCCATTAGAGAGCTCTTTATCAAATCAATCCAAAACCTCTACCTTAATCTAAGAAGAAAAAAACCCATACCCTACCCGAACATTAAATATTAGTTGAATATTTTGAACTTTGAAATTTAATTCAATATTGAAACATTCTTAAATTCATTTAGAATAAAAAAAACTTCCGTTTTCATTTGCTAATTATTTAATTTATGTGCTTTTATGTATTTTATTTGTCATAACTCTAATTTTTATTATCATTTTTTTTTCTTTTCAGTTTTCGGGTTCACGGTATTAAACTTTATGGACGTTTTACTGTCATGTACTCTAATTATGTGTTTCCAACAAAAATGTTTTACAGAATAGTGTAAAATGTTATGTTTTATATCAAAATACACGTCACATTTAAATCACTAACTGATATGTTAATAAAGTATATATAAATTTAATTAATCTTTCGTCTAATCAAAATGTATTTGTTGACAAATAGTGTTTGTTCTCTACAAATAAAATCCTTTGAGAATTGTTACATCATGATATATTTTAGCTTCATAAGTGGAGTGGAATCTAATTCTGAGATGATGTTTTACAGTACATTCACAAAGTACCCGCTCTTAATAATATAAATTTATCTGGCTATTCGTGAAACAATGAAATACTAGGAGAAAAGCGCAATTTAAGATAAAATTCAAATAAAACTTATTAAAATGGACACAGTGCAGGTCTTCAATTATAATAAAAATCCTGCAGTTTCATCATTAACAAATAAAACTAGGGATGTCTCTGTGAATCCTTCTTTTTGTTTTAAATTCATTTCCATTTTTTAAACTTCTTTGTTTTCTTCTTAAGAATACAGAATTATTGTAAATCTACGAAGGGACTTATACTTGTAAATAAATCCTCTCAATATTGAATGAACTCGTCTATCACCCAGCATATTTTTTTTTCTCTTCCTAAGCGCAGTCTTGCAAAAATTGTGTGAGAAAACCTTGGATATTGAATTTTGATGTGTTTTTTCACTGTAAATGAGGTTTGTCGGGTAATATTATGAACATGTTGTTTATAAAGGTCCGTGTTTGCTCTGCTCCTATTTGTATTGTTTTATGGACTTCGATATTGAATACTGTTCGTTATCTCCATTTACTTCTTCCTCATAGCAGAAAACTAATGTTTGCTTTTATTTTCCTTTATTCCTTGATTGCATGCGCGTGTAAGATAATTTTTAATTAGTTTAATTTGAAAATACTCAAAGAGACTCTTTTATTAATTTAAATCAGAACAGTGATACACTGTTTATTGGCACCTGATCCCACCTCTGATGTTTCGGAGGTCCATGTTTGCTCTGCTCTTATTTTGTATATTTGTTTAATGGACGTTAAGATTGGATACTGTTCGTTATTTCCATATCCTTCTTACTTTAACAAGAAATCTATATATTTGCATACTTACCAGAGAATAACACCTGTTCACAAAATTCTCTTCAAGCGCATGATCTTATTAAACAAGATAATGTAGATTCGCAAAAAAATCTCTTAATACAATATTACTATCTTACAAAAATAGGAGTAGCAATAACACTGAATAATTTGGCTGATAATTTTACAGTAGATATTTTAATTTGTAGTACATTTTGTTGTACGAGGTATTAAATCTGCACGGCATAAAAATGGTTTATCCATGTATTAGCTAAACAAAATGAAAAGAAGTTAATTATTTAAAAAAAATTAAATAACGTTGAAATTCTATGTTTTCAAAGAAATTTTGATTGTATGTTATCCAGAAACAAAATATTTAATAATAATTGAAAAAACAACAACCCTGCTAAGGAATTTGTATTTTTATTTCAACCACCTTCAACCTTCACAACTTTTTTATACGTTAGATCCTTCATAGTAGGCCATACATTTTATGGAAACCGACAAAAATTTTCTAGGTACTCTATAGTGATCTTCTTAGCTATATAATCTTTATTGCTGTTGTACACAGACGAAATAATTCATTACAGCCGCTCCCCTTCCTCAACCCCGATGATAAAATGGGAAGAAGAGACGAATACCGATAATTCCTTGCTCATTATCTTTTAAAAATATTTAACTTTCAAGATGTACCTGTAAAATGCAGAACAAAAATAGAAAGAAAACGCAACGAAATATACCAAAACGAAACGATGTATCCCAAAACGAAACAAAACCTACCGAAACGAAAAATGGCATAGAAAACCGAGTGACGATTTCTTGCGAAACATGGACACGTTGTCCATATAAGCTTGTTCTACTCTGTTATTTATACAGAATTCAAACGGACGCTACGTCATCAAACATGAATAAAAAAGCTGGTGTTGTTAAAATATGAAAAACCTGACACCCACTGCGGAAGAAAGGACATTCAACCGGAAAAAATAGCTTGGAATAAGTTTAGAGGAAGAAAATGACACATATGCGGAAAAAAGAAGATATCAGAGAGCCGGATAAACGTCAAACGGACGTCAATGAAAGGAAAGAAGGCATGTTTATAGCTGGTCAAAGGGATGTCAAATATGTCTGATACATACTTTTAACATCCTTTCAATTTCACTCATGTATAACCATAATTATATTTCGTGTTTTTGTATTACTGTAGATTTATTCCAAATTTAAGTACCATCCTGAAAAAAAAAACATTTAAGAAGAATTACAGTCATCGGTTTAATCTAGTTTATTATTGTATATAAATTATAAAACTAAATGAATCTATTAATATATCAAATATACAAATATTATACCGGGGTTTTCAAAACTTTTTAATGAAAATCATTGATCTTTACTTTTCTTGCTTTTCCCCTTTAAAATCAAAATTTCCAAGATAGAAAGAAGCGTGTGTATTTTTATCATAAAAAATATACTAAACTTCATAACTTTTAACACTCTCTTAAAAAATAGAAAACGAACGATTGGATCTTTTCTTTTCTCCTTCTTTCCAATATTTAATAAACATAAACATTTTTAAGGATTCAAAACAATTTTGCGACTTGAATAAAACCAGTATAATATGATATCTTTTTTCTGTTCTAAAAACATATACTTATCAGAAATAGAAAAATAACGAAATTTTTATAGACTGCAAGGAAATCTTCATGCAATACAGATCGGTGAACAGATTATAGGAAATTGACCCTCGGAAAATCAATGGTTTACATCTAGTACCTTCATTTGTGAACCATTTGCGGCCACACCAACCTTAAGCCCAATGTTTTGACAAGGAAGAAGAGAAATTAATTTGAAATTGATTATATATTTCAGTCAAAATACAACCCAATTTAAGATTATATTTCCTAACAAGGTCAACAGAACGACAGTATTTTATCTTCAGTGATTATATTTTAAATAATGCTAAATATCAATATATTCAGTAAATGAACAAAAATTATTTTATTGAATTAAACATGGTCATTTACAAGCATAAAACCTGCCTACATCCGACAAAATTATTGCACGTATATTTGTGGTCAGGAAGGCGGCATGCGATTGGTTGTCTGTTCGGATGTTGATCACGTGATTCTGTAAGTTTTGTATAAATAAACCACATTCTAAAAATGATTTGGACAACCTGTCCCAATGCATTGGTGGTTACAACACTGGCTTTAAGTCATTCGTGTAATCAAAGAGCGAATGCACTTTAAAACCAAGATATGTACGACAAACGCATATTTTATAACTAATCATGGATTGCTATTTCTTTGTAGAGTTTTTTTTCTTTCAAAATCGACTTTTTTCATTTTCTTTTCTTTAAATAGATATTTTAATTTTTTTAATATATATTTTCTATATAGTTTTCTTTTCTTGAAAACTTTTCGCTTTCACGTGTACGATTCAAACATATTTTTACTAAAAACTAAATATAATAAATGAATAACTAAATAAAAATAACAATATGAAATCCGCGCAGTGCATTTCAACTCAGGAACAGGAAAATCTGATGTTATCCAAGCGCAATTCACGAAAGGTTTGTTTCTTTTTTCTTCAGGGTACAAAGTTGTTTTTAAGGTTAATGATAAAGCTTCTTAATGAAAGTTGTCTAAGTTTTGTCACATTTTATATTCATCAATTATCAAATTCAAAGTAAAATGAATTCAATATAAAACAGTAGGTAATTTTGCAGAAAAAATGAATAAATAAACCTTGGTTGGATAGAAATTTGATATTGTAAATATTTTAACTTTTAATTTTAATTAATTTTTCATTTATTGTTAACCCTGAACTATTGAAAACTTAATGATTTAAATAAACTTCAAACGTTAAAAGCACTAGGACGTACTTATACAGTTTAATATACCATATGCAAAAACAACACGGGTTGAAATTATAGAAAAACTAGTATGGACGACTTATATATTTTAATAGTATTTCACACAAATACATTAAAAATCTTATTTCATCTAAAAGTTATTAAAAAATTTAAATTTTTAGACGAGTTTGATTGACACATCGTTGCTTCTCAAATTTTAATTTTATCCTCAATACTTATGAATTGGGACAATATTGTTGTGCATAAAGGAAAATTTTTTACACTACAATCCATAAAATTCATAGTAGAAATGTTTGAAAGCAATAAATACACACAGTATATTTTCAGTCGGTGCAGTTGTGGTGAGAAAACTTTAACAATTAAATGCACCCGGCTAACAATAACAGAGCTACTGCCCTGTTTACAAAACTGTATAAGTTTCACGGGTGTGATCAATTTGCTAAAGTCTGTACTCTGTACGAGGGTTGTTAGAAAAGTTCGCGGACACATTGAATTACGGAAAATCTATTGTATACTGTGAAGTATGACCTATGTCTGAATGAATTCCTACATTTTGTTTATTGGTATGTAAAAATCAGGTCCATATAATAAAATCTTTAAATTTTACTACTATTTTTACTATGGGGTCATGGGATTCACCCTCAAAATAGAACTTGTCTGCGAACTTTTCTATCACCCCTCGAACACAACGCATAGCGTGGAATGACGATACTTGAGAAGGGGTAATGCTTTTTAACATTTTTTTCTCAATAAAATTATTTTTCTGTATTAAATTTTAAATATTTTTCATTAATACACAAGATTGCACTTTTTAAGTAAATGTATTAAGAATAAAATTAAATTTGTGAGGGTACAAGGATGTGTCAATCAAAGCCACCTCAAAAAGTTGAAGTTTCAATTACTTAAAAGAAATAATTTTTTAAATGTATTTTTGTGTGAAATGCTATTGAAATATATAAGTCGTGATATGATACAGAAAATATTCATTCAAATCTGTGTCCATGCACCTTTAAAGCCAACATTATTAATCCGATGAGTTGTATGACGTGGTACTCCGGTATAAAAGGAATGTCGAAGATTGGCCACCGGGAATCCAACATCTTCCATTTTTTGTCCGTTTCTAATAGTTTTGATTGAATGGCGTTAACAACAGACATTCTCATTT